GTGTGAATCTCCGGCCCTCGAAAAAAGGACGACAATGCCCGGTGCTGGCTGCGCACAATGAGCCTCTAAACCCACAATGTAGCCACTGTATCTGCACGAACGGCACTGAGAGGGCTTCTCCTCTCTCGCGCGCGCGCTCCCCCCAACCCTCCCCCCCGGTCGCCCCCCCGTTCCTCCCTCCACCCCCCTTTTCATCGGCACAATCCTGCCGCGCAAGGAGTCGAGGATGCCTGGATGTGCTCGAAAGCACATTTTTCAGCCGCATAATATTTATTCGTCCGCGGGTTTGTATCGCTTTAAAGTGGCACCGGTGAAACCGAAAACCCTCTACCGCGTTCGGATAGAGAGAGACACGGTTGGGGAGGAAATTCTCTGATCGTGCCAGAGGGAAACCGCGGCCCTTGCACGACCGTCGCTAGTCATCCACGCCCATTCCTGTCAAAACATTTCCCGAGTTACGAATCGACTCGGCACCCGGATTCGTTTTTCGGTAGGACGCGTTACCCCCTCGGATTCTACTTTTCGCGCAGGTACCGTCCGCGAAAGGGTTCCCGAGGGTTTCTACGTCTCGCCCCTCTCGGGGTTTTTCGATCGCGCTCGAGCTGACAGATCTGCGAGCGTGTTAATCGGTGTGACGGACGCGCACAGCCGCGCAGGATCATTGTTCGCGGCATTGTCAGGCTCGCAGGACATGGCGTCCTGCCATTCGAACCGCTTTTTGTCGGAACCAGCTGAGTCAAAATGGCCTCCGTCCGGTGACGTCACGATTTCACGTGCTCCGGCAATAGGTGAGTGCACGCATGTATACACGCATCGATCCGAGGGTTCGGCCAATAGCGCATCCGAGCGAGAGGACAACGAGTCCAAGGATGCGGCCGAGGAACAGGAATTCTGTCAGGATATCGTTCGAGCTAATGACGTCCATTCAGGAGGCATCCGTTAAAAGCTTCCTAAAAACCGTGCTAGTAAATTCAGCAGGGAAGCGTAGTAACGAGTCTCTATTAAATATAAGCGTCTTTTCAACGGGCCAAAGTTTCGACGCCATTCAATCCGGAAGATGAATTTAACCGGTTATTAGAAAGGGCCTCTCTCTCTCTATCTGTAATTACGTTTTCAATGCAGGACGCCACGTACGTCTTCCCGGATCTGTTCCACGCGTCGGTTTCAAGCGAGCGCTTAAAGTATGAGCCAGTTTGTCAATTAAAATATGTGTCCTCGGCACGAGAGAAATCTTAGGAGATCCTCCTCCTCTCTTCCTCCTCATCCTCCTTCTTGGTAAATCGAATTCGAGTGCCTTTCTGAGATTTCTGAAACGAAATTCTGTTACTAAGTCTCTCCTCTCGGCCGTTCCACGGTATCGCGGCGCTAATGAGCTCCAGTTAGCGATCAAAGCAAATGTTTCACTATGTGAAAACCGTTTGAAGCCTTTCCCCTGTATACCGTTTGGCCTTCGTCGCTCTATTTTTATCCTCCTAAGGCTTCGTTTCATGTAAAACGCCATCGTCTTTTACTCGGTCCCGATCGAAGCGGAGCTCACCGTCTACCTACTTTCGCCTTTTCGCGAACAGACTGCCACGTCTTTCTCTGTTTTTTTTTTTTTTAGCAAATTTTTCTGCCCGCGAATCAGTTTGTTGTCCGCGGTGGCGTGTTTTTGATTACAATTCATTCCCCATGTTTACCCTGCACCCGGGTGGTACAGGTTCGCGCAGACAAACCGCTGCTCCAGGCACTGACTGTTACTAATTAAGGGCGGTTTCAGTACGCGTGTTAATTCTTAATTAATATCTTTGTTACCTCCTCCGACGTGGCAGCCCTCGGCACCCATTTCTCGCTCGCTTCGCGATATATCTGTCTCTCTCTCACTCTCTCTCTGGGTCTCTCTGTCTCTCTGCCCCGTCCCCAACTCTCGTCGTCCCTCCTTCTCTCATCTGGTTCTTCTATCCCTTGGCACCTCGACTCCTTCTCGCTTTTTTCTCGCTTCTTCCCGGGCTCTCCTCGCCTCATCTTTTCCTCTCGCTTTCCCTCCATCGTGGCCCTCTTTGTTCGTCTTTAACCGACACCCCAGCCCAACAGCCGCGGCTCCATCGTCCACCCACTTCTCTTCTGGAGTCTCTCGAATGAAAGGAGATGTATGGGAACACACGCGCATCTCGAGCCACTATGATAGGTACAATCGGTCACGAGTGACAAAAAAGGGAATGAGAAAAGAAGAAGCGAGAAAGAACCGCACGGAGGTAGCCGCGTTCCTCCGATTTACCGCTGAACCGTTTTCAACCGTAGGAGTGAATCTCTTTTCGCGACGAATCGAGGAATCGTTGGTTAACCCTTTTGTCGCCGTAACCCCTCGGCGACTCCCCCATCCGACGAGAGTTCCTCGCAAGATCCTAAATTGTTTCCTCGAGCTTCCTTTCGCGCCGACAACGAGTGACAATTAATTACGAGGCTCGCCCATCGCGGCTCGTCCTCCGCGTTTTCCTCGTTCCGAGCCGCGCGCACTTGCGAAACTTTCTTTCATTCTAAATCTAATGGGTGAAAACCGCGCGATAGTCGCCGGGTAGCTCTCGGGCACCGAATAGTCAACAACGTTCGACCGCACAATGAACGGTGCCGTTCTTTGAAATCGAGCCCTTCACCGACAAGGAAATGTATGTAGAGCCTGCCGGGTCTATTAATCAACCGCCGGTTCTGCTCCGGTGCACTTCGTTTTTCACCCAAGGAAAACGCTTTCTACTCTTTAATTCGTCTCTCCACTCCTGCATTTTTTTCTACGCACTTCACGCACGCTGAAACGCGAGCACTTCCTTCGTACGGTTTACAATATTTATCTGACAAACGACTGTACAACCCGTATAATTGATATCAGTAGAGAATTTTATTTGCTTGAAATAGATTGTTCATGGCTCCTGAGGGACGCTGCTACTTGCCTCCTCTCTGCAGTCTGGCAGCGCCATTTAAAGCATTTACGTAAGCTTTCCTCCTCTCCCCGTCTCGTTCGCTTTACCCAATTTTCTTTCCACTTCGCCAACGGAGTCAGTCACTTGTCTTAGACGTTTTCTTTCGCCGAGCGAATTTCCAGGCGAAATCAATACGGGAGATGAGATGATTGAATTGGACGCTGGGAAGGTTCGAAGAAAGCCAGAAGGGTTATTTATCCTAGCAAATATAAGAAATTGTGCAATTGAAACCTGAGTAATGCCACAATTTGGCAGTTTAGAGAAGCGGCAAGTGGATAAAAATTGTCGGAACGGGCCAGCAGGACTTCCTGTCCTTTTTCTCAGGTGATATATAATTGAAATCGTGTCAGGTCGTAAACCGAGGCTGAACGCGGCAAGTAGGCAGCATCCTAGCGGAAAACAGGTTCTCAACGGGAAAGGGTCCCTTGGTTCGTGTTTTCGCCGCGTCTCCAATTTTCCAACCGGCTTTTCTGAGCGCCGCTAGTACCACCCCGGGGGCCACGTTTCCTTTCGCTACCCGGAATCCTCCGGTATTTTCCTTTGCCGGCAAATTGGACTATTACGGCGACGGCTCGTACCTCCTCGCGAAAACCGCGTATTTTCTCTCGCCCCCGACCCCGGGCGAGCCCCGGTACCGTTCCCCGCGCGCTTCTTGCCTACCGGGCTCAAAGTGGGACCGCGCAGTTGTTAAAACAACCAATTCTGTCGGAAAGCTGCTCGTTACAGGCGCCTCCGCTCTCTTTACGCGCGGAATCCTCCCGTCCTGATAGCGAATCGTTCGTTTCTCGCTGACGCAACGGAAATATCGGCCAATAAAATCCATCCCGTCTTGACGACGCATTTTTCGATTCGATGGAATAAGCAGAGAGCTCGTTCTTAATTGGGATGCTTCCTCTTCTCTACGTTTCACTCGGAATCTCGAATGGATCACGGGAACAGTTCGAAGATTCGGAATCGAGTTTCGGCCGAGAAAAGTCTCCCGTTACCGATTAACCCACGAATAGGGGTGGGTGTGGCCGGCACCTACGATTTCTCGAAATATTTTGACAAGTAATTTAATACGGGAGAACGAAATTATACACGATTGCTCTTTGGATACCTGAGCACTCGAAACCACCCCTCGAGTTTTTTCTTAGACACTTCCGCATTTTTCAATGCCTATCGTTTAACATACTCAGCGTACGTTCGTTTGAAAGTAATGCATTTTCGATATGATAATTCAATTTGTTATCGAAATTTGTTTGTTAGAAATTCTTAAATAGCTATAAACCAGATCGAAGCATTGTTGGTTATTAAGGATGTATGGGCTATACAGTCAATCCTGAAAGTTTATGTACTTTAGAAAAACGCATTTCCTATAATTAAAAAGNTAATAGGAATCTATAATAACAAATTCAACATGCTAGCATTGTTTAAGTATACAGCCTATACATCCTTAAATCCAAAGGAAGAGATCATTTATGGTAATCGTTTTGAAGCTGTCGTTTCCTTTCTGAAACGACATCGGTTTGCGGGTCAAGCGAGCGGGGCTTAATGGCTCGGAAAAATCGGAATCATCGCTGGGTATGAATACGTAATCAGTTTTCTCATGACGTCATCGTGTGAGCGATGTAGCGGCGCGATCGCGACCGAGATACTCGCCTTAATGGGAATCTGCATCCCCTTAATCACGCAAATTGCTCCCCAACAAACTCCATATATACAAGAATATAAACTATGCTACGTACTTAGAAAGGAATCGTGTGGGTGCTCGATCTTTAAAGAAGTTCGCGCGTACTCATCGGAGCGTGTCTCGGCGAGCATTCGAAGAGAACTCGAACGAAAAGCGTCGTAAGCTCTGCACGGTTGTTTGCGCATCTTTATGGATTCGACCGTAAGAATTCTGAAAAGTGATCTCCGACGTCGCCGGAATTGGATGGAACCCAGTTCGGAACTCGTAAAACGAGGCACCACTGAATTTCCAGACGCATCGACCGAACTCTACCATGAAATTCACTCACTCACTCGTCCTGTCTCTCACAAGATAATTTTCGAAAGCTAGTTTACCTGGACTGGTGTTCGAGAACGAGCTTTTCGATTGCGAGAAACCTGAAACAAAAATGACACCAGGTACGATTAAACCTCACGTCATAGCTAGTCGTTTTAAACTGTAATTAAAAAATTTGGCCCGGTAAATTATATCGGGAAAATATTCTATATACGCGGTAATTATTCGTTAACGAATGCGACTCGGAGGATGGGAGAAAGGTGGGGAATATTTTTTATTAAAAATTAACCGGGACGCAGGTGGTGACTGTGCAGGCTCGAAGGGATGGTGCGCTGCCGCTGCCTCGACACTCGACCCTGATTAACGACTTCGCGAAATTAACTCGACAATTATTTCATTAGCGCTTAGTAAGACATTTTTCATCCGGTCTCAATGGCCTTTGGGATTCGTGGAGGGAGACGTACGTACGTATACGTATCAAGACTCGACTACCCTTAATGACTCCGCGAGAATTAACTGTAATTTCATTAATTAAAATCTCGCGAGAAAAAAACTAGGAAGGAAAAAAAAAGGAACATTGTATCGCGCGGGACCAGGCGTGACCTAGGTCACCTCGTTAGAATTATTATCGAAGATATCCCGCGGAATCGAGGTTTCAGCTTCGATCGGCTTTGATCCTAATCGATTGAACCGGAGCGGGGACCGTGAACGGTAGGCCTGGAGGATGTATAACGCTTGCGAGAACGCGCGCGACCTTAATTATTGCGCTTCCGCGATTTCGCGTTTAACGAGTGACAAGCGTTCTCGCGGCGAGGCCACAACGGCGATACATTCGTAATTAGAGGCAATTTTGAAAACCGCGCGATCCTTGCTGGGCGCGCAGACGTTCGCGTTTCACTCGTTAGTTCCGGCGTGGATTTAATTGCCCAACGCGCGACAGAACAAAAATCTGCCCCGTTAATTCTGATTCACTTTGTCGACGGGATCGGCGTCGGTTTCCAGGCCCGACACGACAGCGCGCGCATTTCCCGGCGTTTCTAAACCCCCGGCTCCTTTCAGAAGGAGGGAGGCGAACGGAAATAAGTTCCGCGGGTATTAAGACGTCTCGCTACGGCCATTTTCTAATAAACTCGTCGTCGTAGCCGGGTGAAAAACAGGGGTTGAAAAAGATTCCCGCGTTCCTAAGAAGGTTAGGGCTCGTTGGCTTCGGTCGACGGAGCGATAAAGAGGAGGGAGGAAGTTCGCGTCTCAGGAACATACGACCGCCCGTCTGACTGTGTGTACGGGGCTCGATGGACTCGGAACGTTGCCGATGTTTAGCCGTGGTCGTGTGCACGTATAGCCGCGGCGACCGAGGGCGGCGGAACTCCACCCTCAAACGACTTTAACGAGCCGCCGCCGCCACCGTCTTAAAATGGGGATGCCGAGCTTGCGCCGAGTTTGCGCGTTTGTTTGATAAATTAACCCAGAAAAGTATGCCCTACGCCCGGTCGGAACACTTAACAAGCCTGAGAAACCTTTGTAAATGTGGAGCAGGGATTCGCACGCGATATGCTGATTAATACTCGTCCAGCCGGACGAGAGTAGGCGTTTAAGTAATCGCGAATGACACGGGGTAAACGGGGATACATTTGTCGCTGCTCATTTGGAACGCGTGTCACGAGGCGTTCCGTACCTGGGATTATCCCTCTTTCCACGGAGTCCGATGAAACTTAAACCGTAATCGCGCACCGGTGCTGGAAGGTCTCGGATTTTTCGAAAACTCGACAATACGTCCCGCGCGCCGGTGGTGACAAGACATGGGCTACCATTGAGAAAACTCCACTTCCTAGGTCTCGTGTTACCCGGCGTATTTTGACAGGATCTCATTGTCGTCGCGCGGCTCAGCCCTATTGACTCTATTATGGGCCTATTAGTATTATACTAGGATTTGTGGTTACTCGAGGAACGTCCCTAAGCCTTCTTTCTTCCGCTGAAACCGAATGCCTTATTCAGAAGACGGACGGAACGTGTTCCGACGGTTGAACGAGCAATTTCCCTCGACACGGAGTCGAGTCGGCTCAGGTTTCCCCCGATTTATCATCTCAATTAAACGCGTCGGTAGAAAAATTTTCGGGTGCCCGATGAAGATGCACGTCGTCGCTGTCTCGGGTAATTAGCTTCGATGCCCGCGGGAGGGTAACGAGGCACTCGGTAATCGACCTCGGTGGATAAATAATTACCGGTTTAAATGGCAAAGGAAGGCGAGCGTCGCCCGCAGGTGTCGTGAAAAGAGCGGGTCGTGGAAAATGAACTGCATCGCCGTCGTGTCCACGGAAGACGGCGAGAGGCCGCGCGGACGCCAACGCACTCGTACGTTCGAAGAGCTCCGCGGCCGCGAGAAGCTACCTTCATTTTCCAAGTCGCGAGTGCAAGCATCGCGGAATGAGCTGCTACTTAGAGAGAGAGCGGGTGGAAACGCATTCACCGGCACGCAATCAAGGCTCCTCGTAGCCCGGCGCGCATATATACTGTATACACGCGCGTGTTCCCATTCATAGCGCTGCGGCGCGCGGCAAGATTTGCTCTCGCTGGCAACACTCTCTTCCTACGGAATCGACGGGAGCGAGGAGGACCGCGGCGTAGGGTGGGACGGAGACGAGCAACGAAGTCAGAGAAAAAGAGAGCGGCACGACAGGAGTGGGAAAAGCGGAGGACTACGGACGCGCGTGTGTTTCAGGCGTGAATTCATGTATGCTCGCGAAGCACTCTTCACAGGGGACAATCGAGGTGTTGGACTGGAAATCCATACCAATTTGAGCGACTTACGGCCGTTCGCTTGAAAGCCCGGTAACACCAGCCACCACCGGGGTACACCTATACACGCGCACGCGTTAAAGACACGCGGGGACACGTATCCGCGTTTACGCACGCATCCACAGGCGTACGCGACGCGACGCCTTTGCTGATTTTTTTCTTTTTTTTTTTTTTCATCTCGAGGTCAACCGATCGGGAGAAACGATGGTTCGCGAAATCGCGCTGTCCCCGCGGAGAGGGTGGGATCGCCAAGTGACGCGGCGAGATTTACACTAGAATTCTTGAAGGGGGCGAAAGAGGCTCGTTGACGCCTTCTACTTTTCCACCGGAACGTGAAGCTAGTTACGTGGAAGAAAGGGACGTGACGCGGCATAGACTCCGCGTAACTCGCAATTTTTCAATTACTCTGACCTAGTAACGCGGTCTCGTTCAACGCCGTTCCTGATGTTTCTTCGTCGCTAAATTCCCTTTATCAGCGTCGATCGATGGATCCTCTCGCGACGGTCCGGGTCGCGCTTAATTAGTGTACACCGGCGATTGGCAGAAACAGTAGCCGGAAACTGTGGAATATCGGGCCGAACGCTCGCACGCGGTGCGCGGTAATGGACATAGTTCGCCGGTAATGTCCGAGACTAATTCCCGTGTTATTTCATTAACGTCCCGCAGCAGCCGAGGGGTTAGCCGAGCCACCACCAGCATCATCACCACCACCACCACCACCAGCACCACCGTCATCGTGGAGCGACGCGACGCGTGGTGCGAGCGGTCGTGCTCGTAGCCCCCAAAGGGTCTCGTATTAGGCGCGTGTCAAAGGGTGAAAATTTACGAGGTGAGTAGCAGCCGCGAAAAGGCCGATTGATAGTCGCCCACCTACCTATACTCGCGCGGGCGCCGTGCGTCTGTGTACGTGCTCGCCTTGAAATAATGCCGGCGAGGTTTACGCTATGGTGAAACATGCTTACCCAGCCTGTTAGCGCGCATGACTTTGCCGGTGGGTAGATCGATACCGTTTGTCCGTCGATAATCGTGCCCCGTCTACGGATTTTCCATTGAACCGCCACGCATCCACGCACGCACACACACAGCGGCCCGCGCCGCGTGCATCGCGCGTCGACAAATTAAATAATTGAGTAACGATTACGCGGGAGATAGACACTCGCTTTTGCTGTCTGCTAAATCAATTTTATCTATAATATCCGGCAGCTAGTAATCGATTGGACTAGATTCGCGTGGAATAGCCGTTTCGCGTTTTCCACGGTTCGTCGGCCGAAAACCGCGACGGGGGAGGCAACAGATTTTCTTCGCATTTCGCGATTGGTTTGTTCCAGCGGATTACGCGATTAGGGCGAGGGAGGGTCGCATGATTGACACCGCGACCAGGGTGTAATGAGACCGAATCATTTCTGAACCTGGGAAATTGCTGGTCGACCGATGGGAAAACGAACGTTTCCTCTTTCGCACGCGAACGGGTCGACCAAACGTTTCCAACGATTTTTACAAGAATTCAAGTGTACGAGAGACAGGAATAAAACAGTGTGCTAGAGGTGAGCCGTTGCGCGTTAGAAAGAGAATAGAAAGAAGAGAGTCGTCACAGGCGAGAGGGTTGAAATTTTCCTACTTCTGACGGCGAGCACACCCTGGCAGTGTTATCCAATTATTCTAAGTTGTTAAGGCGAGTTAGGGCGCTTAAGGGACTAAATTAAGACATTCCGCGCGACAAATCTCCCAAGAATCTCAATTAACTTCTCCCGGGGGGCGCCGCTACTTTAATTAACTGTTTAATTTCGTTCAATTTGCATTCGCCGTCGCGAGAGCCGAGTGGCCGACTCGCGATTCCTCCTGGAATCGATCGGAGCCGAGCCCATCACCCTTTTTATTATACATGCGATCTCGAGGCGAAGAGTTATGCACGGTTACGAGGGTTCCCGTGTTTTTGAGGAGCCGTGGACAGGAGGCGCGAGAGGAGTAATCGTTTCTCTCTGCTGGTATCGGTTTCAAGCACCGGTAGTAGGCTAATTTGAATTTGCGGCGACACTTACGCACACGTGATCGCGCAAAATCGCCGCCCGCGCGCACGGCCGCAGCACCGCCGCGGGCTACGTATTCGTGTCGCGAGCCTCTTACACGCGTCTGCGAACCACTTTCCCGGAAACAAAGCCGGGCGAATTCATAATCCGCTAATTTGTTCAAGATTTTTTGCTCGAGTACCGGCGCTTGCTTTGTCGCGAATCCGCCTCGTCGATGCGGAGCGCGTGGGGCTCGCTGGTTCAAGCCGCTTTGAAGTACTAATCAGTATCGACCTGTG